TTTTTTAGATTTTTTTATCATTCTATTTTTTGTGACTTGTTTCCTTTTCACAAGTTATAAATATTAAAAGACTAAACATAACAAGAATAAAAAATATAACAAAAATAAATTCAACAATAATTTGAAAAAAAAATAGATATATGAATAGTAAAATAGTGAAAATTAAACCTAATTCGAATAAATATAGAAAAATAACGATTTGAAAATATGTGATGAAGTTTAATTGAAAATCAAAAAAAAAGAAAAGAATAAAAATGAATAAATAATTATTAAGTTTCGCATGAACGTTCTTAATTTTCTTTGTTTTCTGTTTTTTTTTATCACAGTTTTGTTTTTTACTTTTAATTATTCATTTGTTACAAATTAGAAAATGCTATATTACAAACCCACACATATGCGGATTATCTAAATCTAGTCGATACTATATAAAAGTTGAAGCTAGCGTTTAACGCTATCCACATAGGATTTAAATCATCCAATTAAAAGTTGAACTCGCATATTTGTTGTTGTCTATTTGATGAGTTATAGTATTGTGTCACCATCTTCACTATCTTCACACACTGCATCAACATGAGCATCTCCACATGTTTTGTTGTTGTCCATGTAATTACTTTCGATTGTTTATTTTTGGAAATTTTTGTTGAGATCGATATCCTCAAAAATGCGTGTAACTGTGATAGTCTCGGGGGCAACAGCGAAGACATGGTTCTTCTTCTTAAGACATAAGGTGTGGGGAACGTGTCATGTGTGGTGACAGGTTTTGAACTTTGAAGATCATACTCGATTTAACAATCTACATCACAAACAAACCACATATATTTCTTGTTGAACATAAATAAAATCATTAATTTGAATTCAATATGACCGGGTTGTATGTTTTTCCTTTTAATGAAAGGAAAACATAGACAACATATACCAAGAAATACAATATTGTGGAGTTGCAAAGTTGTGTTTTAGTTGATAATACCAACTAGTATTATATTTCGTGTCATTCCTTTCTTTCATTGAATTCACTTTGTGGCTTAATCTTATATCACCAAAAATCAAAACTTCAATTAGTCAAAAAATAAATTACGTCAGTTCTTGTCATGATTTTCTTTAATTGAATTCACTATTATGGGGTAAACCCTATCACCAAAAAGGAACACATAATAACCCAAATGTACCAAACGTAGAGTAAAATAGATTGTTTTTTATATTTCATCCAAATATACTCATATTAAATTTTATTTATAGAATATAAGGATCATAAAATTAGATTAGAACTATAATAACTTTGATCATTTATTTTCAGTTCTATTTTAACAAATAATTTTTTGATGTAGTTATTGGTAAAAATTTAATTCTATAAATGTTATTCTGTTTCTCTTAATTTTATAAAGACAAAACAAAATTAATTAGTTTCTTATTAAAATTAAAGGAGAATGACACATGTTGTAATGCCCTGACCGCCGTCGAGCCATCGGTATGTAGGGAAAATCCTCATCCCCTCGAGAGAAATCTTCATCTCTCAATAACATACACGGAAAATCCTCATCTTTTCAGGAGAAATCTTCATCTCT